TCTATGTAACTTCAAACTATCAACACTCAACAATCATGCGTGACGCGTGTAACTGTGTAAGGTGTAAGTCACATGCTACATGTGGTCAGCGGATCATAGCGGTTCCACTGTTTTGTGATTACAGATTTCACGACTTCGAGTTCCGTTTGCGCATGCGCACATCATTTTATTCTATGCATCTGATGTTTTCATATACCAATAGGAGCGTGGTTGCAAGCCGCCACTTTTTGAATTTTCAACATAGACCTTAAATTATAAGCCATAAAAGGTCTATGATTTTCGACAATAAATCACTTTATTAATATTCACCACGCTTATTCATAACCCGCTTTGTGGGTTAACATGATCAAGGTCAATATATGATTCTCGGCCTATCGGCTAAGATCAAAGTGTAATATATAATACTATCATTAATCACATTATTCACTATAAGTATGGCTTAGCGAGATAATTCAGTTAGTTAATTATTTATTCTTAAGATTCAAAAAAAAATAAATATTTCTTTTCTTTAAAATTCATAATTTATTGTTTATAATAATACTTTAATAATAATTGAATATGTAATATATATTATCTCAAATTATCATCTCAAGATGAAAATGAAATACATAATATATGTAGGTATGTTTTTAAATGTTATGACTTATGAGAATACTTATTTATTTATTTTTTAGTAGTTTTATTATTTGAACTTGGACAGTAAAAATTTTTTATTTTTCTTTTATTATTCTATTCGAGTTAAATATATTTTATAGATTTTTATATGATTTTTCTGTAGTTTACGATTAGTTAATTAATTGTTAATGTTATAATAAGTTATCATACTTAAATGTAATACAGTCATTTGCCTATTTCACTCAGTATATTTCATAAATTCATGTTTTTTTATATAGCTATATTGAAGTGATTTATTTTAATTTTAGTAATATCATTGATTATACAGTAGTTTATTCTATAATAAATGGTATTGTAGTAGGTTAATAATTTTTTTTTCAAAAATATTGCATTCATCACATCTACTATTTAAAACCTACTTACAACTTATTATAATAATATGTATTTATAAACCATCAAATTGCATGTAAATACTTACTTACTGCAAAACATTAAAACAAGTTCATAGTATAAGTAGATAATATTTTAAAATAAATTCATAAAAATGTAATAATTAACATTGTTATTCATTGTAAAAAATATATCATTTTGCTCCAATTTGAATTTCTTCAAATGACTAAATATAGTTGTTTATAAAATTTTAGATTTTTAGTTCTAGCATAAATAATAGTTTTAATAAATATTATATTACATATTCAAACATAAGTTATACAAATCAAACATTTTATAAATTTTTCATAATAAAATTACTTGTGAATTTCACAATTTTGACAAATTTTGTAAAGTTTGAACTTTAAATGCATGAAAAAAATATTATGGTCAAATATTTTGAAGTATTTTATACGGATAAAAGAATATTTTATGTGATATCTCGTATTACAATTTTAAAAATGTTGACCCATTGAATTAATTTTAATTGACAATTATAAAAAGATAACAAAACAAAAAACCAATATTTCTCATGATTATAATATAAGTTTAACCCATATATAAAATTATTAAATTTTAATAAAAATAAACAGATTTTTTATATTTTTAACTATATAATAATTTGTATTTTTTTGGATTTTCACAAATTTTGACAAAACTTTAAATTTAAATGCTTATAAAAAGAATAATCTATTCTATAAGTGTTCAACATTTTAAGTTATAAAATGATTCTACCTAACCTTTTATTAAATTTTCAAACATTTCTAACTTTCTTACTTTTTTTGGTTATTTAAAAAAAAAAACCAAAAATGACATTTGTATATAAATTGCTAAAAAATATCAAAGTATTTTGTTAAATTAAACCATATAAAAAAAATGATAATATCAACACTTGATGACAATTTTAAATTATTTTCATTATTTATTTATATATGATTATAGTAAAATAAAAAAATTAATTTAGCTTAAACTGGTTTAGTATGAAAATTCGATATTTCCTTAGAATTGTGTTAGTTTTTAATTTTTAATTTTGATCTTTCTTAAGTAAAAAATCTGATTTAATTTGCTATCCATAACCACCACTAAAATTAAAAATTCAAGTATTTTATTAATTACTTATTGTGTATATAAAATACAAAAAAAAAAAGTAAAATGAATAGGTAAATTTATCTTTTTGCTTTAAATCTAAAAACATAATATCCATCTATTATTTTTAATTAAATATTTAAAAAGTATCTTTTTAAAAATACCATTGTAATACTTTATAAAAATATATCTTGATTAATATATTAGATAGATATTTTATGTTATTGATTGTATAATATGAAAAATTAATTCATAAGACATCTATTTTTTTTTTTTTTTTTTAGCATATGGCGCTTATGTCCGGGAGTAGGCCCGAAGGCCTAGTTCGGACGCCTATTTGGCAGAATTTTTAGTGGGCACCCGTAGGTTTCTGCCATGCCCGGGTGGGGGGCGGCGGCTTCTCTCTCCAGACACCGTGACTGCCTGAAGAGTGACGCCGCCCGTGACCGAGATTCGGAACCGGCGACGGTGCGCGACGCAACCGCCGCCTTAGTCCGCTCGGCCACTTCACCCCCAGACATCTATATAATTATATATAATAAAAAGTATTTTAGACGCATCGAAGGCATTTGATAGATATTTGCATAGTATACAAAAGACAACATTTTAATGTTAGGTAGATTAATACATTATGTTTCATCTATTCTGTATAATAACTTTTGTTACCTATAAAAAGTATACCTAAAATAAAAAAAATAAAATCTATCACTTTTCTCTAATGATCTGAAACTAGCCATCCAGGATTCTTAGAATTAAATAATATTAATTCAAAGACAAATTATAAAAAACAAGTAAAAATTAACCACCACAGACCTATAAACTAAGGTTTAGAAGCTTATAATTTTTTTTATTAGAAGTTTAAATTTTCTAACACCCATTTATTTTTTGGAGCAAAATTCTTCTTTTACACCAAGGTTAAATGCTAATATTGTATATATTTTTAACTTAGGTACAAACATTGTTACATACAATTAATACAATTTGTTAATGGTTTGCCATAAAAAATAACTAGAGCACTAAATGGAAATAAGTTAAAAATTAAAATGTTTAATAGAAGATAAAACAGTTTGGCTACTTAATAGTTAATTATTGTTGAGAGACAAATAACTTATTAAAAATATTGATTTCTTATAAGAAAACATTAAGAAATTTTAAATTTTAAAATTTCTAAAATGTATGATTTGGGTATTTGTAATTAGCACTATTCTTGTATTATACTATTGATATATTAAAGAAATTATAAAGAAAAGACAAATATTTGTTTATTTTATAAAAATAAAAATACAAACAATATATTAGTCTCTTACTTTTTAGTCCAAGTCTTAGTAAAAATAAATTGTACAATAAAATTATGAAAAATATATTTGTAGGATTTTCCATAAATGTTTAGTTGAATAATAATATACATCAGGAATACTTAGGACGTTGGAAGATCAGAAATCTGAGTCACAAACTTAAAGTCTTCTGGAAATAATAAAGTAGCATTAGCTAATATCAGTTTATATGACTGCTTAATTGTGACTTCTGCAACACCAGCAATATCTCCAATTTCTTTTTGAGAACGTTTTTCATCAGATGCTTGGGATGCCATAAATATTGCTGCGGCCGCTACGGATATAGGAGAACGACCTGGTACAATATCGTATTCCACTGCTTTTTTAGCAATATGAGTAGCTGCCCTTTGAACCATGTTTGGTAATCCCAAATTACAACAAAATCTTGACATGAAATCTCCAGTTGTTATCAAATCAACACTAGTTTCTAGTGCTTTTAATATTAATTTAAAAACTCTTCCAATTTCTTTTTTACTAACTTTACTTACAGCACATATTTCTTTAAAAGTTCGCGGCACACCTTCTTGTCTACAAGCAATGTATAAACTAGCTGATGCAATAGCGTCATTCGATCGACCTTTAAGATTTTTGCCATCATGTACTTGTTTAAACAGTACATTGGCTCTATCAACAATATTTCTTGGCAAATTTATGCGATCAGCCATAAGGCCAATTTCTCTATATGCATTAAGTAGTGAACGATTGGTCGAACAAACCATACCTTTATTTTTATACTTCATACCACCAAACTCATCAAATGATGCATCACCTCTAGAAGGACCGACCAGTGTGGATAAATCAGAACCATTGAGTAATGGATTTTCTGCCCCTCCGACACGTGAAGGATCAGCACTATTGCTACCTTTGTCATTACTGAAAGTTCTCCATTCTGAACCGACATCTATTACTCGATCACCAACCACAAGACCACATTCTGAACATATTTGATCACCAGCTCTATAATCTTCAATCAACGGAGCATCAGGATGCTGTTGACATTGCACTAAACCAAACAAAAAAATGTTTAAAATTAATAATTAAAACACAACACAAATACAATACTTAAAACAAACTTAGTAACTCACCTAGATTTTTCGACATTATTCTGAATTAAAGTATCGTAACAGTTGAAACAATTGTAACATTAATAATTGAATTTATATTTTTGTATCAGTCAACTTTGAACTTTCATAAATTTGATTCTAATTTAAAAATAGTCAACAATAATAATTTATCACTTGTTATTAAATTTTAATTATTCTGTTATTAATAATGATTATTTTTCATTAGAAATTAAATGGTACATACATATTACATTATCATATTTTGTGTTAGTGAATCGACGTGACGACGTCGTGAGTCGTGACTATGATGTATATAATTTCATAATTACCTGGTTATAGGTTCAAATATAGTATTGCCTTATTATGGTTACGTTAAAGAATTTAATGTTATTTTGTGATAGTGGCAGTATCACAAATTCACAAAATAGATAAGAGATCCATAATTCGACAAAATATTAAAATTCGAAATCTCAATAATTTTATGTAAATACTAAATATATGTATTATGTAAGAACTATTAGGTAGCCAGGTAGGTAATAATGTAATATAAACATAAAGGTAGTATGCAAGCTAGTATTGCTAGTAGCTAGTAAATGCCCGATAATAAATAAATATTTATTATTATAATTATTACCGGACACATTTTTTATATTTTCATTTGTTTAATACTTATTTCATATAATAAATATATTTTGAATTACGTATACAATCTATGTTTTAGTTTTCACCTTTATTTGCCTACGTGTAGTAATTTTAATTACCTGACCAGATATTCCATTATGTCGTTAAACTTGCAGTCACACACTATTAGCCAAAGAAAAAGTTTGAAGTTGAAAGGTACTAAAACGTCAGTTACAAAAAACCAAATTTTAATTTCTACTGGTATAGTATCGCTGGATGCAGTTTTGGGTAAGGATATACAATATAACAGATTTTTAGGTTACTTGTGATACATATATTTTGTTTTATTTAATTTTTTTTGTATGTTAAATTATAGGTATTCTTGTCGTATGTGGTCTACCTCACGTTTCTACATGTGATATGCGGTCTACCGCACACTTTCCGTCTACCACACATGTTTTTATATGTCATATCAGTGGCGTAGCAAAAAAATTTAGGCTCCCCCGCTAAAATAAAAAACGGGCCTCAAAAATATTATTATACTAAATATAACCCTATAACCAAAGGCCCCAAATTATTATGTTCTCCCCCACAACGCGGGGTCTGCGGGTCCTCAGTTACACCATTGCGTCATATGCGGTCTATAACATACTTTTTATACCTACATAATGTTTGGCTAACATTATGTTAAAAAGTGCAGTAAATAAACTGAAGAATAACGGATCACGTAGGTATTACAGTACAAACTGAACTGATATCTTATACGTTTACGACTACAGTCACGATTTTGGCAGGACCCAAGTTTTATTATAGCAGGTATTTTATTATTGATATAAAAATCACATCGTTAAGATAAAACTTAATCGTCATTGCTGTTGAATCGTTGAAAGTTATCATTAGTAGATAAAAAGTGTGTAGACGTGTGGTAGATGACAAGTGTGCGGTAGACCGCATACGACAAGAATACCAAATTATATCCAACTGTGTTTTTAGATAAATTTTTTTTTATTTAATTTGTTTAGATGGAGGTATTCCAATAGGAACTGTGGTTCTTGTGGGTATGTGTTTACAATTCTTATAATGTATACTAAATGTATAAATATTACTACTATTAATGATCAAATATTTTTTTTTTATTTGTATCTTTATTGCTTTGAGACAATGTATTTATTTGATTGAATTTGTTTTTGTTTATAGAAGAAGAAAATTATGGCCGAAATGCAGATTTGATTACAAAGCATTTTATAGCTGAAGGAGTTGTGTGTAATCATTCTATTTTAATTGCTGATGTTGAAAGAAAACCTGAAGCAATTGTAATTTTTATTTTTATTCTGTTTTCTACTTTGAGTAAATTAATAGTGGATGGTTTTCGAATATCAAATTATACATAATTTATATAATTAAATTATGTATTAATGTATGATAAATAAAACTCAACATATATAGTTGTTTTTTTTAATAAATAACAAAATAGATTTGGTATTTATTTTGAAGAAATTTTAATTTTGTCTTCAATTTGCTTATTAATCTAGGTAAATGACTTACCCAAACCAATTCATGAAGATTGTTTTCAACCAACTGATACTGTTGCTGAGGATTTTAAAATAGCTTGGCGATATAGCCAAAATCCAATATATGACTCTAAACCATATCATACATCCATATCTTTTGGACATACATTTGATATGTCAGCTAAAATTCCTGTCAATGAATTACAAAACATTAAATATTGGCCAGCAGATAAATCGCAAGGTATTTACATCATACTATGTATTAATTATTATAATTATAAAAGGATTCAAATTTATTTCTAAACATATTTATCACAATACTGTTTTATACTTATGAGATTGTATTATTCATAGAGATATCTAATTGATCAAATAAAACTATGATTATTTGTTTGTTTTTAATTAATAATTTATTTTGTTCTCTAATAATAAAATGTAATTATTACAAAAATGGTACATTTGTTATTATAAAATTAAATCATAAGCAAAGTCATTAATAATTTAAAATATTAAATTTGATTTATATGTATATACAAGTTATTTGTCAGTATTATTTTGTTTTTGTTTTATCCATAGGCACCAGTTACTCTAAATTATTAGAACACATAAACATAATAATAACTAATGGTGGTTTTAGTACAAAAATTCCTGTTGAGCAAAGACATGTATTAAGAATAACAATTAGTAATTTGTTTTCACCAATTTGGAATTCTAATGATATGAACGTTGTTACATTTTTATACAAACTTCGAATTCTTGTGCGTTCTTCATATGCTACTTGTCTTATAACAACTCAAGCTCATGTAATTGATGATGTAAGAATTTATTTTTTTTTAATGCTACTTACAATACAATTATTTTTTTTTTTTTTTTTTTAAGGTGACTAAATGTCGGATAGAACATTTTGTGGATACAGTACTAATCCTCAAACCAATGGAATTAAGTTCATGTGCTGATTATAATGGAAAACTTATCATTGGTAAATTGGCATCATTTAACACATTTTTATACGAACCTCTATCTGTTGATTGGGCTACAAAACTCACAAGAAAAAAATTATGCATTGAGGTATTATTAATATTTTATTTATCAATGATGCAATGAGTATTGTAGTTTTATAAGTGCAAAATTATTTAGACTCAACAAGAATAATGATAAATAAATTCAATTATATAAAATACAGATCGCTTAATTTTTAAATCTTATCTTACATATATTTTTTTTAATTTTATGGTGGAAGAGCATAATTTTGTACTATTTTTACAGAATATACTCTAATATACCTGTTAAAAAATATATGTTGTGTGTCTCTAAAAACACCATGGTTAATGACTAATTTTTTACTATCTAATAATGTTTATTATTGATATTTCCAGAGCTATGAATTTTATGATTTTTTTGTTTATCAAACAATTTTACTGATAAAATAATTATATACTGTTTGTTCACCAATTTAGGGAATACTGATTTTTTTTTACAAGCTAGTGGTATAATATAAATATACATTTACAGATAAATTCAAAATTTTTATTATTTTGGTATGTGTACACACAATAAAACATGTTTTTTTTTAAATAACAACACCTATTTTGAACATCATATTTTGGAAAGGCCTAATTTTTTAAGATAATTTTGATATCTCAATCAGGGTTCTAAATTAAAAATTGAATAAAAGCCATTTTAATTTTAATTAATATAATAAAAACTGTGTAATGCTAACCCTGAATAAAATAAAAAATTATCCAATACAGAATTTTTCTGTTGTTCCGGCATGTTCCTATATTTTTAAATAGACGTTAAACCTCAATAAAACAGAACCTTCCTAACACAAAAACTGAACAGTTTTGAAGGTTCAATGTAAGTAAAAACTGTGCATAAGCCAGAAATATGACATGTCATGTTACATTGATATAAATATGTAGGTACATTATAAAACGACATTTAAGATAAAGCTGCACTACATATATTAGTTATGTTAATTTAGTATTCTTTAAATTTTTGAACACACAGTATATATTTAGCAAGGAAATTTTATAAAAATGTACTGTTATAAATTTAATTTGACATATACTTACATATCTCTGACATATCTTTAACTATGGCCAGATTTATAGCTTTGGTGATTAAAATTTTAAATTGAACTTATTAAAACACAATCCATTTTCTTATATCATGTTCTCTATCAAATACTTATTTTAAAGTATATTTATTTATTTATTTAGAAATTACATCTTCCGCCATGCTTAAACACTGAAGATGATAATGAAAACATTCAGACTAAGCAATTGTCATGCGCCTCAACAACTTCTGTATTAAATTTTTAGTTTGTTTTTACCTGTCAGAATTTTATATATTTAGTTTAATGAAAACAAATATTTTTATATCATAGCTATGTTAATATTTATTATATTAATTTATTTTATTTTTATGATATATACATTTTACATAAATTGATTAGGTAATTGCATCATCTGTTACTTGTGTTGTGTAAGATGTTAATCTTAAAAATTTTCATACTTTAATGTATGGCAAATCATGTATTCAAGGAATTTTAGTTTTTCTAATTTATAAAATATTTCATATTTTATGCTTCAATTGTCATAATTACTACTACTTATCTAAAAAAAAAAATATTTTGACAACTAAAAATGAAAAAGTAAAAATAAACAGTATATTTTTCTATGTTAGTAATAATACCTATGTAATAGAATTAATTTAAATAATTTTAGACAGAGATTTTAATAATTAACTAAGTTATTATAAGTTTCTATAAACATCAAGAAATAAGTATACTATTCAGAAATTTAAAATGTATCTGAATGGTTCTTAGATATTCAAGAAAGATATTTTTTTCGGGATTTTAAAGGTAAACTTCTGTTTTAAATAATACATGATATTCAAAACAATTTGATATAATATTAATCATTTAAATATCAAGATTGGGGAGGGGGAAACGTATTAGATTATACAATTTAATAAAAAAATGATTTGTAATATTTGAAGATTTTCCAGTAGCGTAACTAAGAGAGATCAAAGAACGCGGATGTAACTGGGTCTAAGTAATACAATCTTTTTTTTTTTAATAGTTTATAATAAGCTATGAAACAATTATTTATTTATTTTTTTTTTTTGAAGTCCCAATATTAATTGATTCCTTCTCTCACACCATCTGTCTCAATTTTTCTGTAAATACTAATCTTTTCCTTGTTCTTATAATAAAAAATAAATAATTCAAAATTATATACAATTTTAAATTGATAAAACATTCAATAATATTTTTAAAAAAATGTAAAAAATAATTTTATGAAGACGAATGCCCCTCCTCAGACCTCACTTAATGTAATCTAATATGTTTATATGGAGAAGGGACATTGAAAATTTCGACTCCGTGCACAAATTTTAAAGTTATATCATCGTTATTTGCATGCCTGATTTGAAAATTCTTAAGTGGCTAATTCCTACGACAATGTAGTACTTACAGGTAAATTATTGTAATTTTGATATCATTAAGAATTAAGAAATTTAATTACGGAATACATTATTATTAGCAGTGGTTCTATAATGGTTTTAAATAAAGAACTACCATTACTACCAAACTTTTATTTATAATGAGTAAATCAGTGGTTCTTAAATTTTTTGGATATATGTCACTCTTATCCACGATCATCCAATACTGCGTCCCCCTAACATCACAATATTAAAAAATGTATGCTATTCACTTTAGAAAAAGTGTATCGAGTTTTAAAAAATAAAATAAATTGCACATTTTATTTTAGTTGTACTGTTGAATAAATATAGCCATTTTAAATAAAAAAATAGAAAGTAAGAATATTGATAAATAATAATGAATTAAATAAAATTTGAAAAATTAATGAGCTTTTAGCCTTAGAGGTTTTCTACAAAGTTTTAACGGAAAATTAAAAGTTCTCTATTTTTATTTTTTCCGAGTATTTTGCATTACCCTTACATTGGAACTTCGTCACCATGGTTGAGAACCACTGGAGTATATTACAGACTGCAAATAATAATGAAGATTAATATTCTTATAATTATTAGTCAACAATATGAATTTAAGTTAATTGCCAACTGACCGTTTGTCATCTATAATAAATTTATTATGACGAGCTTTTTGTTTTTCATTTATTTAAGATTTATCTTAAAAAGGATAATTAGTCGTCAAATATTGAATAAATAATAAAAAGTATAGGTAAAACATTTTTCCTTTTTTTAAGTCAAATTTTGATAGTAAATTTGTTTAAACGATGTTATAGCAGGGATTCACAGTTATAGAACTAACTGGTAAGTGGTAACCATTCACTGTGGTAGAAATTAATATGACTAAGAATCCGAAATAATTTTTAAAATCTAGATATATCACGTAATTAGATTGACAATATTTAATTTGTACCTAATGGCTAATACCTATCATACCGGTTGTAACCATTTAGTGTCTACATTTAATGTAAGAATGAAAATATATTATTAAAAAATGAAAGCAGTTCGTTTCGAATCCCTACAAATTTCAATTGTTAATTAAATTTAAAATGTTTTTCCACAGAGTGGCAATTGATTGTATTATGGATTATCTAATTTTCTAAGTATATATGTTTACTACAAAGTACAAAGGTATAACCAAAGTGGTGGGCTCTGGGTTTAAAACACTCTAAACCCTTCTACAGTTGCACCCATATTATCTTATAAATCAAATAAATGTAAAAATAAGATAAATTTGAATATTTTATCATTTATAAATATTATAATGCTAGATTATTGGTTACTTAAACACGAAGCAATCATCATTCTGTTTTAAAAAAAATAACTGATGTAATATTCCATAATAAAATCACGAAGACTAATACAGAATTATTATGTATTATAATGAGAGAATAGAATTTTTTCGTCCCATTCATTGATCCTATTGACCAACGGTTAAACCAGCGATTCCCATCTTTATATGAGCGCGACCCTGAAATTTTAAATTAAACTATTCACGATCATAGAAAAATAAAAATGATAAAAATAGTAATTATAATAATTGAAATCATAATTTTTATTTATTAATATGCTTATTTGAACAGATTTGATACAATATCATAAAAATTAATTTACTATAAAAAGATAATACAAAATAATGTATTAATGACTTCCTTGATGCTAACCACTTTCCTCAAGTTCATCTTCAAAATTGAGAGGAATATTAACTGAAAGTGCAGACTGCATGGTGTTGAGAACCAAGGCGAATTTTGTATTTTGATTTAATGACGGTCTTATCTATTTTTTATTTGGAACTAAATTTTGAAGTATAAAATAAAATGAAATATAGTGTAGGTATAAAATGCTTCCGCGACCCTTAATAAAAACTTAATATGGGTCGCGATTCGAGGTTGATAACCGCTGGGTTAAACGATTGTTTCAATAATTACAAACAAAAAATTATTGACTGAGTCGTGTCAGATTTTAAGTACAATGTATACGATGGTAGAAGTAGAATAACTTATTAGTGCAAGGCGTCTCATATTAATAAATCTGTCAACTGTGATAACTGACAAGTGAGATTATAACATTGTAGTATTGCTATATTTATTCAATGGCTATACGAATATTTTTTGATTATTATTTACGTATACATAAAAAATGAAGGTAAATTAATAATGACACGATTTAAGGTATTAACAATTGACTCAACCACAGAAAAAATTATGTGATTCAACTGTCGTAGTGTCGTCATGACATGTGATAAGGTTTTAATTTTAAAAAAATTTGATAATAATATGTTAACGGAAATTTATTAACTTGTTGCTAATTCCTTGAGTCTGGATTGTTCTATCTACTATTGTTACTTAATATCTATCTTCTTCTAATTATTTCCTTCAAAATTTACGGTAATTGTACGTCAAAATCGTAAAATTTGTTTAAATATTGATGAAAAATGGTAATTTTTATTTCTATGTACATAAATATAAAACTTAATTTTATTATTATTTTTCTTTTTGTAGAGCGACTCAGCTACTGAACAGATTTTGACTAACGATGACGAACAACAGTACTTGGATCATATAAAAAAAATATTAGAAAAAGGACATAAGAAAATGGACAGAACTAGAGTTGGTACACTTTCATTGTTCGGTGCTCAAATGCGTTATAATTTGATGGATGGTAATACATAACAATACATAACACTAGCAGTTGTTGATTATTAGTTTAATTAATTATATTTACTAAGGTATTTTTCCACTGTTGACAACAAAAAGGGTGTTTTGGCGTGGTGTTGTCGAGGAGTTATTATGGTTTATCAAAGGTTCAACAAATTCTAAAGAACTATCGGAAAAGGATGTAAAAGTTTGGGATGCTAATAGCACACGTTCATATTTAGACTCAATTGGACTTAACAATCGTGAAGAAGGTATTTATTTGTTATATCTGTATAAATGTAGATAAATATATAACAATGTTTTTTCTGAACAATTATATTTTAATATAAGTGGTAATATGTACCTGTTTCATATAAGCATCTTTCAGGTTAGTTATTTTCTTATGCTATATGAATAATAGTACATATTAAACTATTTTTACTAGTTGTATTAACAGTTAAAATAATATATTTAGGAGATTTGGGACCAGTTTATGGATTCCAATGGCGACATTACGGTGCTGAGTATAAAGATGTACATACAGATTACTCAGGAAAAGGTATTGATCAGCTTCAAAATGTTATTGATACAATAAAAACTAATCCTGGCGATAGACGAATGCTTATGATTGCTTGGAATCCATGTGATATACCTAAAATGGCTTTACCTCCATGTCATTGTCTAGTACAGTTTTTTGTGGCTGATGGATACCTATCATGTCAAATGTACCAACGATCAGCTGACATGGGTCTAGGAGTACCCTTTAATATTGCTAGTTATTCGTTACTTACATACATGATAGCCCATGTGACTGGATTAAAAGTAAGTACCTAGTTGTACCTGATAAAAATTCTTTGAGTATTTTAATCAATGCGAGAGAAAGAAAATAATTTTAATTTAATAATGTGTTTAATCAAATGTTATTTGGTTATTCACTAGTCATAGATTACTGTATTAATTTAATAGATTAATCATGGGCCACTTAATTATTAGTGATTGTTAAATGTTTTTACAGCCCATCATTTATGTTGTAATACTACAATTACATCATAAATCATAAGTTATATAATTATTTATTTTAATAAATATCAATTATTTTTCAAAATATTTTGTTATAGCCTGGTGAATTCATTCATACATTGGGCGATAGTCATATCTATCTGAATCATATTGATGCACTCAAAATGCAACTTCAAAGAAAACCCAAAAAGTTTCCCATACTAACTATTAATAGAGAAGTCAAAAGTATAGATGATTTCAAATTTGGTGACTTTACATTAAGTGGATATAATCCGTACCCAAAAATAACCATGGATATGGCTGTATGAAAAGGATATAGAATATACATGTATGAAATTAACATATATTTTAATAAAATATACACGTGCGCATAATTTTTGTTTACTTAACAGTTGATAAACGATACTTGGTATTGTAAATCAATTGTTGTATGAGACTTCCACAGTTTTTAAATAATTTAAATAATGTAAGATATATAAGCTGTTGAGTAGTACTAATTGTGGAGTCAATTTTTTTAAAATTAAAAATATAGAAACCAATAAAATATATTTAAGAGAATCGTTAATATGAGGTTATATGTACACAAATATATGTATACAATATACACACACACACATATATATATATATAAGAAAAACTTTCTTAAAAAATGTGAAACATTTCATTTTTTTTTTTTTGAAAAATTTCTTATTATATTTTAATAAAACTAGTTATACTTACAGAACTAGTTAGTTATGTAACAAAAAATATATATTGTCATGACAAAACAATAAAATATAAACTGTACAATTTATATAACAGACACCTGATCATGACATAATGTAACTTGGATTTTGCAAAATAATTTAATTTATGACAAAACCAAAAAAAAAAAAATATATATATATTTATATATATGTCAAATAGATCTCTTACTTACTAACTTTATGCTGATCATAATTTTTTTCAACCTTTAAATTACTACTAGGTAATTTTAAGATTTAATGAAAACTATGAGTAATTAAAATAATGTTTGTAACAAAATTTAAAAATTATCATATTCAATGTTCAATAATGTAACAAGTTGAGTCTCAAATAACCAAATTTATAATCACAATATATCACTTTCCATATTAGTTTGAGTATCAGTGTCCTTAAAAAAAAAAAAAAAAAACCATTTCAGTAAATACACAATAAAGATTATAAACAAATATTAATATCATAACATAACCACAAAATTGATTTAAAATATTAAAAAAAATCTATATTAGAGAAATAAAATGTGCATATTTTTTCAATACAACTTTTTATGAAAACTGTATTGCATGCTATTTAAATTTTTCTATTAAAGTACTTACTTGATTTGTCGGTTGATTTTGCTGTGATGTAGAAAAGGGATTTAAAATGTTTGGTTGGCTTTCCATTGGAGAACCCAAATTAATGCTTTCGACCAACTGTCTCGATAATTCATTTTGAAATGAATCATCTTCTACCTGGACCAAAGTCCAAATTGTATCTATATAATATCAATAGACTTCATTAATACTGAATATTTAATTATTCTTTAACAAAATTCTTTTATATAAATCAAATTGTACATGAATAATAATTCTGAGGACAACACTTTATTTTTTTATTTATCAAATAATTGAGTATGAGAGAAGAATGTACCTACGTTTTTTTATTTTATGAAATGTCTTGCGCATTTTTTTTTAAAAGGCTTAGTATAGGCTATTTTAGCCCTTTGCTGCAACCACAACATCTCTCCATGCTTTTTTTTATTATCTAGCTATTCACCATTCATTACTCCTAGCATTTGCAGATCACTTTTTACTTTGTCAACCCATCTTTGTCATGGTCTTAATGGCCTCTTTCCATTGGGAATCCATTTTGTTGCCTCTCACATTATCTGGTCTTGTGCTCTCCATATGTGTTCTATTCAGTTAATATGCTTACTTTTCAATGTTGCTATTATGCCTATCTCACTGAATAATTGCCTAAGTTATAAATTGGTTCGTCGTTTCTACAGGCGGCCAAATGAGTGATCTTTTTTTAGGCCAAATATCTTTCTTAGTACTTTTTTCTCATCGGTTTTTGTTTTAAATGAGACAAACTTAGAAATAAAAATATGTTTTAGGACGAAATTACATCTATTAGCTGAATTAATTTTTTGTTTATCTCCATCTGCTATTAATCTCATCCTGAGCTATTTGAGTGTATTAACTCTTTCGAAAAGCATTCTGTTCACTACTAGGCTTTGTTGGTTATAGTTTTCGCGCAATATACCATATATTACTATGAATAAAAAGAGGATTTTTAGGTTCTTAAAAGCTTAAAATATGATGCTAATATGTTTTAAAAAAACCCTAAAATATTCCTTAATCTTGTAAATATGCAAATAATATGATTTGTTTTTTTCCAAAATAATTCAATAAAAACAATAAATAACTTATGTACCATTCCTTTTTGGTAACATATAGAATATTTAATTATAATAAATACAAAACAGTTCATAGGTATATGAATATTTTAAACTTTTGTTAATTTTCGGCATTTTAAAAAATAAAAATGAATATTACAAATTTAACTAAATCGTCAGATATTAAAGTTAAAATAATAAACAATATTAAAGTAAAAATAAAATAGATTTATTATTAGGAATCATTCTTATTACGTTATTATAGGATCTTAAGTACAATCATGGATTAAGAGTAACAGAATGACCAACATTAGCAATTTGATTACAAACAAGTATATAATTGAATGATTTTTAATTTTTATCGTTCTTATATAAAATAATTTTTTTCCTAGAAAAAATTGTTGCTGGAAAATATCACAAATCGATAAATTAATAATGTGTAATATGATTTTTTATGAACAATAATAGAATATATTCTAAAATATGAAAAATAGGCTAAATATTCTCCTAAGTCCAAAATATGCTTTAATATGCTAAATAAATTTTTTCCTATGAACTCTGTGATGGACAAATCGTCCACATTTTTCACTCTCATAAAGCTGCATAAAACTAATAAAAATATGTAAAAACCTAAAAATCCGCTCTCTAATTATGAAAGATTAGATAAGCTATATGAATATATTTACCTCCAAAATATGTTCCTGTCGGCAACATCATACGCCATTTAGACTGATATGATCCAGGCTTAGAAGGTGTTATAAAATCAGTGCTTAGTGTCATGGTACACCCAGGTTCAAGTGTTGTTGTTGGCAACGAAGTGTAAACAGAAATGGAGTCTCCTCCATTGAACTGGAGAGTACAACCTGGTGGCCACTTAATGCGACCATTATTCTTGACTTCCCAGGATTTTGTAAATCTATAGTATAAATTATGACATGGGTTATGATTATATTATAAATGTTGACAATCGTTTTATCAATAAATTGTTGGTATGCACACAATACCGTAAGTTTGGTGGCAACTGCAAGACATTTTCACTGTTTTCATCCCTGACCAAAGACATGGACGGTATTGCACCTTCATTGTTAACATCAAAATATGTGCCGACAGCCCTATGCATATTCCTAATGCACAAACACACATTAATGCGTTAATATTATAATAATATTGTCTACAAGGCGTTTAATGGTTGTTTTTTGCAAACTTTGAGAATGATCTCATGTCAGTCAAGTCTATCAGAAATATTAATGTCATGTGGCTTACTTAATAGAGGTTTTATCTCTCAGGTGAACCATATTTATAAAAAATATTTAACATTTAACAATCAAATAAATAAAGTACTCTTAAGAAGTCCATTTTTGTAAAATGTCCCATTGATTTTGTATTTTATTCATTCATACAAGATTATTTTAATAGTTTGTATAGAAACACTCTGTATAATAAAATGTCAACACTATAAACTAGGGATGGCATTATGGCAAACCTATTTATTTTACCAAGCGCCAACCATTTTGATTAGATTTTATTTAAGTCAGAACATTTTTTTTTTTTTGATCATTTCATTTCTACAGTTTAAAATATATTCATAAAACACTAAATGTATGACGATACAAGAGTATTGCACGTTGTTTAGGTTACATGTTGATCAATGGGTTATTAATGATTTTTTTTTGGATAGTTGCTAGTCTTTGAAAAAGTTGCTCATCACACAAAAGGACACGCGTGTCATAGGTACGCGCCATCTCTGCTATAGACGTCCATCATTCTCTAATAATTTCACTTACCAGTCGTTCATCTCCAGGAAGAATACCGCCGCGGACTCCGTTAGCTGGTCACCTATCAGCTCTCGCAAACCCTTGACTAGATTCTCCTTGTCCGTTGTGCACAGACAGTTGAATTGACGCAAGAGGTTCTGGTCTAGCGGGTCGTTGTCTACGTCCATTTTTCGACGATATAAATGCGGCCGGACGAAACGATTATTCACGAGAAGCGTTTAGAAAAATTATATTTAGGTCATACGAAAACGTAAAGGAGATTATTTTTGAGATTACACTGTGTATCTGTGCCCACGACGTCTGTCCACTGATATATTTTATTTTGTTATTATTATTATTATTATAAATCGCAGAAATGATTGATAAAGTGATTGTGCGCAGTGGTGAAGGGTGGTAGTGATACAAACGACATAATTTACTTACAATTTGTTTGCGTTATTTCATACAAAATTGTCCGGTAGACATCGCTCGCGTCTTCCGTTAATTTTCTTTATTGCCAATTATAGCCTTTACCTGGTTTATAGTCTATTTTAGATTACAGAATAAAATAATTTGAAAGATTGCAATTTGAAGTATGACAATGACAGTGACATGTCTTATTTTCATATCAATATACACTACCGTTTACCACTGTGGACCTTGATCATGGAATATTATTATTATTTGTTCATTGTTTACGTATTTTAGGTATTATTTCTTTAATTATTTTAAATTCCAATCGTGGTTTGGTATCCTAAATCTCCAACTATGGCGTTTTATGATTATGAATTCGATAATTTAAAATTCGCAATCTGGACAACCTATTCATGCTTAATAGTAATTTTTTAAATTATTAGCAGGACAAAGAGCACTCGACATCAGGACATTTAGCTAAGAAATAGGACAATCCTGTTGGTTTTAGTATTTTTTAGTTGATTTAAAAAATTAATAAATTTAATATCATGTTCAGTAATTATTTAAGCACTAACGACCAATAATTTAATAAATAATAAATATTAAAATTTATAAATTTCAACACATTTACAAAAAATAATTTTTAACATTAAGCTTAACTTTTTAATTATATTTGGTATATTATTTTATTTTTAATGAATTTTATTCGCGATCATTTCACGAACTATAATAATAGTTAATTTTAATCAAAAATTATTATTTAAATACTGCAAATGCTCCTAAAGTCACAATTCGTAATACTTATAAT